AACATACCTCTACTGTTCTACCTTCGTCGACCCTCTCTGTGATTTGGTCGAGGTAACATAGAGGTTAGTCAAGCACGACCTGTTTTTCATAAAGCCATGCTGGGTCAGTCAGTCAAATTCAAATCACAGGACGTAGAGAGGCCTTCGCCTTTGGGGTGTCCTAATTATGGCAGTTTCCGTCTGTGGACCGAATCGCCTACGAGTGTAAAGCTTCTTCCGACACTCTACGAGAGAGTAATATCTGGAAGGTAGAAGGGAAAGGGAGACGGCGCAGTATCTGTGACATGCATTCCATCAGTAAACTAAAGGAACCCTAATCCCTAGGGCAGGTCTGGGAATAAGAGGAACCACTGCTTGTCCAGCTCCAGTTTGAAATCCTTCATTGTGGGACATTCAACTATTCGAGATGGTAGTTTGTTCCATGCAGGGACTACTCTACTTGTAAAGAAGTAATGTCTAATTGCTAGCCTGCACTTGGTTCTCTCTAGTGTGTAACAGTGCCCTCGGAGGATGTTTTTGGCCCTCAGGATGAACAGGTGTCCAATGGGGGAATGCTCCATGTTCCTGGTAGCTTTGTACACTTCAATGAGGTCCCCCCTCATCCGTCGGTGTTCTAGAGAGAACAAGTTCAGGGAGTTCAGTCTTTCCGAGTAGCTGAGTTCTTTCAGACCCCAGACTATCCGGGTTGCTAGCCGCTGAACGTCTTCTAGAATTTTGATGTCCTTCTGAAGATACGGTGCCCAAGCATGAACACATTACTCGAGGTGAGGCCTTACGATGCCTGTGTACAGTGGCATGACTACACTAGAACAACGGTTGGTGATTGCCGTTTGGAGTCTAAACAGAGCTCGCCTGGCTTTTAAGGATGCTGCTACAGCGGCAGAGGACAGGGAAAAGGTGTTAGAGACTCTTATCGCGAGGTCCATTGCCTCTGATTTGTAAGCTAGGGTTGCATATGCTCCGGCCGTAGTGAGGACCTGACGAGGGACGGGATGCGCTATATTGGCTAGTAGATAACTCTTCAATTTGTTGAGTGGGAGGTCTCATTTTTGCGACCACTCGCATATCTTTAAGATGTCACTCTGCAAGGAGTATCTGTCGTCCGGGTTTTTAACTAATTTGATGTCATCCGCGTACAAAAAGCAGGGCTTCTCCAAACCTGATATTATGTCGTTGACGTAGACCAGGAGGAGAAGAGGACCTAGGATGGATCCTTGTGGGCCCTTGTTCGTGGGGGAACCCACCTCCGACAGACATCCCCGCACACGAACCTTGTAGGTCCGCCCGGACAAGAAAGCTCTAAACCAGTTACCGACTTTCGGATTAAGCCCAGTTTCTCGGGGCTTGAAATCTAATAACCTGTGGTTAACTGAGTCGAGTGCTTTCTGGAAGTCCAGGTAGCACACTTCGACTTCCGTTCCCTCGTCTAATTTCTGTGTCAATACGTCAAGGAAACATAACAGGTATGTTAGACAAGATATACCTTTGATGAATCCGTGTTGGGCGTTGCACAAGAAAACGATTTGTAGAAGGTGCGCGCTTATGTAGTCTCGCAGAATACGCTCCAGGAGCTTGGCAACGATGCTGGTGAGACTGCTCGGACGATAGTTGGACGGATCCGATTGGTTAACTTCTTTAAAGATTGGGACAACTGTGGTATGTTTCCAGTCTTCCGGAATCCGGCCCGTGTTCAGAGAGTCGTTGAACATTGTGACTAGTCGGGGATTCATTAAGGATTCAGTTACAGGTCATAGTATGACCTCAGCTAGTGGCTGGAAAATAGCTGGGTGGATCTCATCCTGGCCCGCCACCTGATGCTTGCACAGACTTATGAGCTCGGTTCGTACCTCCTCCTCACTCACGATTAACACCTGCTTTTCGTTTCCAATGGTATCCACCAGGGTTTTCCGATCTCCATCACCCTGGGATGAACGACAGACACTTTTGAAGTAGTCCATCAGCGTCTCAGCCCGGTCTTTGTCTGTACTGGCTATGTTACCGTTTGCCATCTCCATGGTTCCAACACGTTCACGTGTGGTTCCCTTGGACTGTACATAGGCAAGAAACCTCTTCGGGTTTGTTTTGATGTTTCTAGCTAGTTTCATTTCGTACTCATACTCAGTTTCCCTCTGCAGCGTCTGTGCTTTATATCTGGCCAGCTTGTATTTGACCCAAGAACTATGCCTTCCGTGAAGCTTGTAGAAATCTCAGCACATTCTACGAGATGTGGGTGTTCTTTCTACTCTAGGCGACCACCAAGGCGGCCTGTTTCTGGATCCGCGAGGCACCGAGGGAGCAAACTCGCGTTAATCTTAGCAACCCGTCTCGTATTGCAATCCATCGTTCTTCGCCTGATGGGTCAAGTAAAATAGGAAACCACCTTATGCTCTCAGCAGCTAGCTTTATTTGCTCTTCGTTGATCCTGGCGTAGTTTCTTACAAGCTTAGCATTCGGCCTATCATGTCTCGCAACAAACTTTAGTCTCAGTACCCCATGGTCACTTTTTCTTAACGGTTCTTCCGTCATAAGAGAATTTAGGTCCGTTCTGTACCTAGTTACAACTACGTATATCGTTGACGGACGATGGCCACCTCTGAATCATGTGGGTATTTTGACTTGCTGCGTTAGTCCATGTTGGTGCACCCAGTCCAGGAGTTAATGCCCAGTGGTACCCCTTGGCGCGCTTTCGTTGTCCCAGTCTATTTCTGGCAGATTGAAATCACCCATTATGAGGAATCTCGATGATTCCCTCACTATGTTACCCAGAAGTGCCATTATTGCAGAATCCTCTGCTCTATTAGACTGCGGCGCCCTGTAAACACAGAGCACTCCCACCGGTCTACCCCCCAGTCGGACATAACAGGACATGGCCTGTATGTTCGGTGTGGCTAAGGTAAACGCAGCTTTCCACTGGCAGTATTCTGCGCTTAGCAGTAGTAGTACCCCACCACCGAGCCTTCCGTTTATTCTGTCCTGCCTGTACCGGATATGATTGTTGGGAGCAGTGGCCACCTGGCCCTCCCTCAACCATGTCTCGGTGATGCCGATAATTGCGCTTGTGTGGGTTCTCGCCATTAGTTCGCCCCATTTCCCTCCTAAGCTGCGGGCATTGGTATACTACAAATCGGTAACATCGACCTGCACTATGGGTTCCTTTAAACCTGGACCGCTTGGACCCTCGGGCGGAGTACCCCAGGGTGTACTACCTTTTTATGCTTTGCTGTTGTCTGCTCTTGTGTGTTCCTGCACCTGCCAGGAGATAATAATAATAATAATAATAGGTGTATATTTCACGAAGCCCTTGAGACATGCCCAGAGCATGGTACCGCTTCTAGTCATGGAGATATTTTTAAAGGACAGTTTCAGTGACGAACTATCCCGTCCGATTGGTCTCCTAGTCTCACCAGATGAGGTCTGCTCCCTG